TCTCAAGATCAGGGAGGAGTGTAACGAGCATGCATGGAAGCGTCCTCGAACTGCGTGTGTGTGTTTTCGCCAGGCACACCTTGGAGTACCATAATGGACTCGACCTAAGACTACAAGAAGAAGATGCGCAAGTCGTTTGGTGTTTCTTTTGGGCGACAAAAGCCGTTGCAGTTGGTTGTCCACTGGTCGGCAGCAGTCGTGGGTGCCTTTTGCTGTCGTAAAGTGTTCATTCGGAAAAGTCGTGCGTTCGTTTCAGGTTCACAACAAGGCGTTCGTTTTAGTTTCACAACAAGGAGTTTTTTTTTGTTTTTTTTCCCTAATTCCCGTTTTCTCACAATTCAAAGCAATTTTTTTTTTTTTTTTTTTACAAGACAAGTTTTGAAGGATACAATCAAGGAGTATGATAGTTCAATAGAATCAAGGCATGTGATCATAACTACCTTGAATTTGCAGTCGTGATGCCTCATTCCATGCTCAAAAGTCCTTAGCTATCAACCTTGAGGGAATATGACATTATGCCTTCTTATACATTTTTTTGTTTTATATACAGGAATATGAAATTGTCATTTATTAAATCCTCTTTCAGCAATTAAAATAATGAATATTATTTTATATATTAGATATCAGATTTAGAATGCTCAGGTGAATTGATCTATCAATTTTATCAAAATCATCTAAGCACTATAAAAAGACAAATATACAAATGAAAATTCATGATAACTGCAAAAAGCTTTTAAATATAGTTTAACATTGATTCAATGTAATAATTTAGATATTAAATTAATATATGAATTACTAAAAGCAAATACTGATTTCAATTGCTGAACTTATGAACTTACCAATAATGAATATCTTTTCATGAAATAAGATGGGCAATCTGTAGTTCACATTTTTTTATAAACATGGTACGAAAATATTTTTATATATGAATTATGTTTTACATTTTTGTAATGTCTAACAGAAATGCAAATTTAGATATATGCAAATGTTCTTTAAAGCTATTGACTAATAATAATACCTAACAATGATCAAAACGTATTCTAATAATTATAGAAAGTGTTTTGATACAAAAATTTCTATTGTTATCTTTTTCTATAAAATTTATATAAATTGCTGTATTGAAGTGCTTTTCTATTTTTTGAGTTCTTCATTACTTTTGAAAACAATCATCCTAATAGGATATCATTTACAAGATTTTTTCCCCCAATTATTTCACCCCAAGCAAGGCAATAAAACCACTAAGGTGTTACTGAGTGTGAGAGAATATGAGAACCAAAAAACACTATTAAGGAGAGAAAACAAAAAAAAAAAAAAAACAAGAATTAAGACAGAAGATAATGATTGATATTGCTTTTAAATTTGACCGGGAAGTAAGAAACCAGATAAGAAGTGTGAGAGAAAAAACTGTTAGCACAGAACTTATGGTTACATTTAACCATTGCAACTGTAAAATGATGAGACCTTGCCACCAATCTAGTACGGCACTAAAATTCATAAAGTCGAGATACCATAGAGGAAAGGTCATCAAAACAATTACCATGAAAATATTTATAGAAAAGACACCAGAAAGCTACAATATAACAGTGGGAAAGGGACTGAAGTTGAGCTGCAGATTTTTGTTTGGATTTCATCAAGAATATCTAAATATATAGCAGAAGCACCATACCAAGTGTGGCAGCAATATTCAAAGCAAGGATGAATAGCAGACTTATAAATATGTAAGATAGACTCTGGAAAAAAAAATGTCTAGCACTTAGGGAAACTTTTAAACAAGCAAAATGGGTTCTCCTTGAAATTACACCAATGAGCAAGAGTCACTGCTTAAACACTTATCTTTCTCAATGTAACAGTCATTTATTAAGGCAATTCAAAACTAAGAAAATTGCTATGAAATGCAAAGCAGCCTTCAACATTTCAACCTAAATGGAATCAGAAAAAAAGTTACTGTGAAATTCTTCATTATGAATTTCTAGAACCTGGAGACAAACTGTTACTGTGCAATGCCACAGTGAACAATTTAGCTTATTGGTGATTTCATGACAACTCTGCTATGTAAATCACTACTCAGCAATTTCATTTTTGTTCAAACTTGCCACAATTGCAGATAGCAAACTGAAATTCCCACTATATTAAATTTGACTGACCTCTAGCTACCATATACAAAGCCACAAATTTGCAAACCTTTTTGTGTAACATAATTCCTTCTTTTTTTTTTTTTGTAAAGTTTCAACAATTTAAAAGGCAAAAGCTAGATGAGTTTAAACTTCTTGAATAGTCCTTTAAATTATCTCAATATCTATACTGTAAAAATAAATTCAAAAATTGACCTTTGACAAAAAAAAAAAAAAAAAAGAAAAAACAACTCATTGAAAATATCCAAAATTTGTACATTAATACCTTACATAATGTTGAAAAAATGCCCAAAATCTAATCAGTTGATAATTAATCTATTGTGTAAAAACTAAAAATCAAAGAACATTTAAAAAAGTCAAATTGAAATGAACTAACAAACAATTGATATCACTTTTCAATTCTAAGTATATGTATTTATATAAGTATAGAATGGGATTTAAGGATACTTAGAATTAGTAGTCAACCTAACGAATTTAAATACATCATTCTAACTACCAACTCTACAATTAAAAAGAATTTATCTAAGCTTAACAAAATTTGTGAAATTGTAAAAAATAAAATACTGAATATAAAACAAAATAAACTAAAATTTGAAGGAATTTACTCTATCATAAGTAATAATTATAAAGAATGCATAAGAAAAATTTCAAGGAATCTAAATAAAAAATTTATAAAAACAAAAGAGATTGTTTACAAAACACACTCAATGCGTGAATTACTCACCATAATGTGTGACCATAATTTTGATATAAAAAAAATGTTTCTTTAATTAAGAGAAAGCAATTTGCTAAAATGAAAGTGTATAGAAAATGCTTTAATCACTAGATCATCCACAGCAAATTTGCATCCAGATTCTTACATCTCACCTTTCTTGACAGATCTTCTCTATCACAATGTGAGAGCTTTAATAATAAAAGCAATAAAAACAAAAAGAATCCAAATGAAATATGCTAGACTATATACCCAGAAACATTTGTTTAAAATAAAAAAAAAGGAAAAAAAAAAAAAAGAAAGAATTGCGAGAGGATTGCACAATAAAAAGGAAAAATACAAAATTGGTTCCATTAATTTTCAATTATCTTTTCAGATAAATTTTGTAACTTCAGTTTAAATATAAACACAGAAACAGAAGTTTGCAGAATCTTAGTGTGTCACAAAAGCCAATGTCAAAAGAAGAGTTTGGGAACTGTACCAAAACATATCAGTTTTCTAATATGCATTTAAAAATAGATCACAGAGTTTGTAAGCAATGTAGACAATATCTTGAGTTCTTGCTTGAGAAAGGAATTTTGTGCACTTTGACACCAAAAATGTTTGATAAAGATTCTTGTAGTAAGCATCTAAAAATTTCAAGGACAAAATTGAAACTATTGATATTGACATTACATCAACCTCAATGCAACATGCCTACTTTGAACAGATCATCACTTTCAGTTGGAGAATTATCACAACAAACCTATAGACTAAAAATCATTTGAGTTAACTAATGAAGGTCTCAGAGATAGTTAATAAGAAAATGAAAATAGTTATAGAGAAAAACATTTGTTTCACATTGTAAGGAACAAACTAGATGTGGATTGTTTAGAATAATTCCAAAATAAAGATGTAAAAAGAAGAGAAAGAAGTAGTTTGCACTATATTGACCCGAAGTTGGATCATTAGAAAAATGACTTTTTCAATGAATGTATGGCAAAGTTTAACATAAGATCAGGCAAAAACATGGTATCAAAAAGATATTTTTCTCTTGACAACATTATTACCATATAATTCAACAGTAATTTTTATTGTTTTAAAAAGCTATTTTTAGAATTTTAATAAAAAAGTCAATTTAAAAATTTACAAAAACTATTTGTAAGAGTAAGGCTGAGAATTTTTATTCGCAGCTCGTTGGAGAAGCCTTAACAGAAACCTTAAGTAGAAAATTTTTGATGTTAGTGTAATAAATTCATGCAATGAATAAGGAATAAAAGCAAATTGCAAAATTATGAAGTATATATTTAGAAAACATTTTTTTAATTTCTATATATAAAAAAAAATAGAAAACACGCTGCTGTATTGTCACCTGAATTAATGGCAAAAAACATCATGCAAGGTTTGTTTTTTTTTAGTCTGAAAATTTATTAAAAATGATTTAGTCAGTGGAGCAATGACAAAAAAAACAAAAAAAACTCAGCCTGACCTGTGTGCTTTAAAAATAAATATAAAAAAATCCTATTATGCATAAGGGATAATAACAAAGTCTGCTCTTTGTTGTGTTAAAACATTTCCTTTTTGTCTAAAATCATGTTAATCTCAGCAATAGTAACTAAAAACAATCTATAAAAAAACATGAGCAAAGTATGTTGTATTTTTATGACTGAATTTAAGTACATCAATGTGTTTTTATACACACATTAAAAATGTAGGGCACATAGGTGCAAATGTTATGGTTCATTATTTTGAAGTGTCAGTCTATTATAGCTCTGTATTTTAAATAATAAGCTTAAAAACTGATTGATAATGCATTTAAATATCCACTTTCTCAAGTAAATAAATCATTAGAAAATTTCATGACAATATTTGTCTGTACAATATAGTCACAAATAGCACTTCCTTTTAAGCTGAACAAAATTATACTTGTTATTTCTTATACATTTGAAGAGGAGGGAGAAAAGAGAGTTTTGCCCAGAGATTATAAAAGTACAATGTTGAGTTAAAGATTATATCATGAAAAGGGATTTACAAATGGGTGTGTACATGAGTGGATTACAAACCAAGCAAAAATTCTGAAATTGCAGTCTGATAAGAAAATAAAAAAAATAGGTGTAAATTATATTAAAGAAAATAAATAAATTGAAATATTCTGAATGAAATGTTGAAAAACTCACCATTTGGAAATGCCAATACACTGATAACTAGAAAGATAAACACCATACAGCAAAGACCATTCCAAATATTATCATCTGAATTTACATCATCTCTAGAAGAAAAAAGAAGAAAAAGTGAGATGATTACAAATAACAGAAGATTAAAATTAAAAGATAATAAATTCCTTTCAAATTCATACTAATGATAAAAACTTGCATAAAAAATACAGCCCAAAATTAATCTCATGATTTGTTCAGGTATATTCAGTCATCACATTTGCCAAATATGTAATAATGGTTTACAGCTAAATATCCAACAATGTTATATGCTAATAGTGTGATATAAATTAGAGACAATTATCAAGATCCACACAGTTAAGACACACAGAGTACCATGCAAAAAACTTTGGCCACTTCAAACTATTTTAAATTCCTAATAATTGCTAACTTATAAGTTGATGTTTCACATTACATTTTCTAAACGTTGGCTCTATTATAATTGCTTTCATACTAATATTTGTAGTCAGAGTTCTGAACGAGAGAGGAAGATTATTATTTTTTAATCAATTTGCCTCAAGCAAGGTGATAATGCCACTAAGACACAAGGGGCTACTGGGAGTGAAAGAGAATGAAAAGATTTAAATGAAACCAGAAACTCAATCATAAACAGGAAACAAGGAATAAACCTTGACTCCAGTTCAAAAGATCAGGGAGGAGTGTAAACCAGATGATAGGAGAAGCTATACAAGAGATGATGTGTCAGTGTTCTATGAGAGATGTCCACTACTCAAGCTCCTTGCAATGATATCATGTCCTGGACCTATGTGGTATATTGGACATGTACTGATGTGCACATATCACTGTAGAAAATGGAATAACAGAACACTTTCACAGAAGTGAGAGAATGACAACAGGCAGAATGCAATGCTTCATTCAGGAAGATGCATATTGGTACATGCCACCAAAAAGATGACACCTCACACCTGACTGCATCTGAAAATGTTTGGAAGAGCACAAGTTACTGAGATTGTCAGCCAATATTCAATTCTGCTTAATAAGAAACCACAACATGTAAAATATATTTGCCCATTCCTAGCATTGGAGATGACAACATATCATCTGAATGAATAACTGAATGACTGCAATAAATTCAATTAAGTTAGACAACCCATTGGAAATGGATGACTCAACTGAAGATGAATGCTTCTCTGTATGATGGGGTATTGCATCAACAAGAGGCCATCCCCAACCTGCATCTACTGTGATCAAGAGATCAATGGAGAGTGTGAGGGATCATTGAGTAGCAACCTACTTTGTCATCAAAAAAAAAAAAAAAAAAAAAAAAAAAAAAGGAAGTGGTTGTGTGCTGCTTGGCATGTGGACATTGGCATGAATTACATGGCCTATTTGTATTTATTTGCCTGTCATGTATGCAAATCATTTAATAAAAACACTGACATCAAGCAAGCAAGCAAGCATTATCTATTTTTTCAGCTTGATAATGTGCACTTACATAAATTAGCAACATGAAAAAGTGAAGATTGGAAGTTACTCAACATTTTGTTGGACTTTTACCAAACCTGCATAAATTAAAAATTGCTATATATTTTCAAAGACCATTAGGCCACATGAAAGTTTAAACTTGACATAGATAAATTAGACTTATGAAGAATAATTCTTAGAGTAAATATTTTTCTTACTTAATAAAGTAATCAAATGTATTAAGTTTAAGAAATTCATTTTGCATTTCATTCTAAAGAAATTAAGTTTTTTTTTACTGAATCTGCAAGAACTCAAGCCCAAATGTAGATTTAAAACAAAATAATTATACAATAATGAAAACAAAAAGCAAATACAAACTGGGCAAAAAGGACAACTGTTTAGAAAGAGCTGTGTAAATATTCCTTTTGTGCACCAAAAGAGAGAAAATTCTTAAAGTCCTTTCGAGATATTTTAAAACAAAAAGCTTAATTGAATAGAAACACTAAGGAAAAATTGGAAGAGTTAAAGAGGAAAAAAGCCAAATCAAAGTAGGATCCAAAGCTGGTTATCATATGTTCAAAATAGTGAAGTTTTGCAATCAGTCAAAGCATCTAAAAAAGGTTGGGTTTCTCATACTGCTGCTGAAGAAATTTCACCTTGTGCTGGCAAAGGTTCTACCTCCTTCCCATGGATTTTATGGTCCCTAGGCCAAAGATCTTCTGTATAACTTCTGTTATCGGAAGATCATTAAATCTGAGCCTTTCTTTTGTAACTTTTATTAAATAAAAATGTACCTGTGAGTACTCTACTATGAAAAGTTGTTTGACTGAGCTGTAACATACACCATCCTAAATTTTTTATTAGCAACTGAAAAATTTTAAATAAATGAAAAATTTCAAGAAAAAAATGGATACTCCATTTTATATCATCAGTTTTAAAATTTCTTTAAATAAAAAGACAACATGCAATATTTTTTTTAACTACCCAGTAATTTTAAGCTTTCTATTTTATTGGTTTTTAGGTACTTTGGCTTTTATAGTCTTAGTTACAAAGAGGAAATGTTAGAAAATTACCAATAAATTTTAATTTTACTATAGTTACCACTCTTATTTTCTGATAATGTTGGGAATGGACATTCATATTTATAAAAATCAGCACATTTATACACAAAAACAAATTCAAAATTCTTTTTAAAATACCGAGGGTTGCTAAATAGTAAGCTTTTCTAATTATGATTAGTAAATGCTGATTTTATTTAATAACAATATCACTTGACTGCAACAAATACAGAATTTTAAAAGATTTAAAAGTTTATAATTAACGCTAATTAAAATTTAAAAAAATGAAAATTCTTGTAAAATTTTTTTCCTAAGACAAATAATATATTCCATAATATATTTTATTCATAAAAGCAATTAACAGCTTTTCTAATTAAATAATGTCTTAATTTTATTGTATTTTTTATTTTACAACTCGGAGTAGATTTTTTCTGTAACTGGGGGTACTGTTTGACCAAAAAACTGAGGATTTAAATTCTCCGAGGACTTCTTGTCTTTATAGCTTATATAAGCATTAAGCCCTACAAAAAAGAACTTTTATAAAATTACATAAGGGGAAGGTGAAGTAAAAGATGTAAGAAAGAAAAGAAAAGGTTTTCTAAAAAAAAAAAAAAAAAAAAAAAAAAAAACACTTAAAAAATTATTTAATTCATTTGTGAATTAGTTCTTGGTTTCATTAAAATCCCAAAATGATCTGATTTTTGCAAGAATTTTCTAATCAATGTACTTTTCAGTGCAAAACATTCAAATTTCCTATACAAATTCATGGTTCTATGTTGACAACAGACAAACAAGATTTTTAACCAAAATTTCCAAGTTTTTAAAAAGGATAATCCTTTGATATTTTCTCTTAATAATAACACAAAGATTTTGACAAATAAAACTATTTTTAATTCAGTTTTGGACATTTTTTTCATCATGTACACACATTTTTTAGCAAATTTTGGGGAGGTACTTACTTATAAGGAAATATTTGACATTAATTGACCATTCAGCCATTACTACTGCCCATTGAAATTTATGAATTTTTCTCTAAAAACAATTTTTCAGGAAAATAGGTTTCTCAAGTCCAGTAGCTGTTATCACTCTTTTCAGTATTGATGAAGGTTTCCTTCCTAATCTTTTGTTTGAAGTAGTGTGGAATGTCAACATTTCGATTATGTCATTATCTTCTCTTCAAGTAAGATGTACAATCCATTTTAGTTGTTGCCGTTGTTGAAAGTCCTCAAATGGTGTAATTTCTGTTATTTGGTACAGTTCTTTGTGATTCTGTAATGCAAGTCCACAAGGTTCAAAGAAGGATGATCTTCACCAAGACCTATAGGCTTCACTCATTCAAAGCTATCTTTAAACATTGATCTGAGAAAGTGGTTGTATACAGCAGACTGTTTAGATACTTCTGAATGGGTTTGATGCCATACATGACATCCACACGAAAGTCACAATCTATTTAACATGATTTAAGTTTTCAGGTTAATGTTTAGATTTTGTAGAAATTTGCAGTGTTGGGTGAAACTATCTAACACAGCCTATTCAATCTTCAATTTCTTTTTTCCTATACTAAATATGTTATAAGTGACATTTGAAGTGTTTAGTATTTACTAATTCCACATCCTGAATTTTAATCATGGATTCAGGGTATGTGTTTTCACTGTATTCATTTTAATTCCCGATCATAGTTTCCATTTTGGAAAGGTTTATCTTGAGTCCTATTTTTTGGAACACTTTGTAGAAGATTTTGCATTCAAGATTATTCTTATCCCAACTGAATACTTTTGTCGTCAGCATAGCCCATCCTATCAAAATAACAAATGTAGTAAAATTTAATTTCATACATTTATTAAATCTAAATGTAAAAGAAATAAAGAATCTTTGCTATGTTCTAGTGACATTTTGATATCAAAACTAATCATTGATACCATGTCCTTTCAGGAAGTCTTGTAATCCTATAATTTTTACCCCTTTTTCAATTCCTTTTGTCTTTGTAGTTCTTGTTCAACCATCCACTTGCTCTAATTTGTCAAGTAGGTAGCTAATACAGGAACAAAAAATTACTACAAATATTTAATATTTCAAATTACTCAAGAGTTGTGATGTGATTAAAGAAAAATAAGTAAAATAACAGAGACAATCAAAAATCACAGATATGCACTAAGTCTTAATTAAAAATCAGTTGCAGTTAATAACATTGTCTTATTTATTTACTTACCCAAATAAATTGTTATAATAATCTAATATTATTGTGATATTAACAGTAATCAAAACAAAGGTATTACTTATTTACATCTGCAAAGTAGGTCAGGTCTATTTTCGCCAAATAAAAAACTAAATCGGTAATCAATTTCAAAATATTAGATTAGAACTGATATAAATACAATTTGGTTAGACTTTATCTGATTGAAAAGGTACCAAAATATTAATGAGTATAAACGACACTTATTTAACTTATATATGCTAGAATCTGTTCAAAATTTCTCCAAGCACCATATATTTTTCCAGTATATTGGGAATCAATTTCCCTTTTAAACATGTTTTTTTGTAATACTCATTTGTAGAAGAGACTGTGTAAATCA